GATTCCACTGTTTAGTTCTAACCCTAGAAGTTTTGCATTTTGCGGTGACAATTCCAAATTTCAATCAAGTTCACTACATTCTGCCTGATTTAATATGTGTGGCACATCATTTGTTTACACAAAATCAGGATAATCTGAGAAAGATGGTTTGTTTTGTTCTTTTTCTCTTTTGTGTATTTCATTTTTGCCTTCATTTTGTGCTTCTAACTCACAACTTTGTTGTGAAGTAGGGCTTGGTAAACTATCTGAATGAAGAATTAGTCAAATGGCGATTGAAAGATTGGGATGTTTAACTGATCCTATTTTCTTCATTGACAAACCTGCCTTAATGTGTAGGGTCAAGCAAAAATAGAAGCTATTTTATATGGTTTTTAGGTTCCCTCGATTCCATAGGAACAGCAAAAGCCAAAGCTCTTTTTTTGATTTTTTTACCAATTCTTGTAACGTAGTCAAAAAACAGCTACATCATTTAGGTGAAGCACATGACTTATCCTGGACCGTACCTTCATATCGAAGTAATGCGGGTAAAGCAGTTTTCATAACAGCTTTCATTTCATTTCTGTGAGAATAATGTTTTCCACCATTCAAATGTAACAAAAACTGTCCACTAAACATTCACACCTTTTTCGCATGTTGATTTGCCAAATTTTACACTAAAAACCAAACTAAGATTAGATTAGACCATAAACTTTAGCAATCACATAAAACTATTATCACATTATTTATATTTAAACACATAAAACTAATAAACATTTATTATAATTAAAAAAGAGTTTTTTTTTTTTTAAAAAAAAAATTATACCATTAGGAGAAAATTTCTACTCTTATTTTTAAGACTAGATCTAACATGTTGTTTTTAATATCAGTTTTGAAAATACATCAAATATTACAAATGATGGCTCCGCAACAAAATTACTGATGGGCAAAGTAAAATATTATAATGAGACAACTTATTAAAAATGTATAAAATAGTATTGGTATCATAGTTATATTAAAATTGGTATTAATCTTTTTAATGTCTTCTATTTTACTATGAGTTCATGTTGACTTTACAACTACAGAGAAATTGGTTATAATGTTATTATTTTGTTAAGGTGTAATCATATTAAAACATTTCTTTAATGTCGAAGCATGACTATTGTCATAATAATATAAAATTAATCTCATGTAGTAGTAGTAGTAGTAGTAGTAGTAGTAGTAGTAGTAGTAGTAGTAGTAGTAGTAGTAGTAGTAGTAGTAGTAGTAGTAGCAGTAGTAGTAGTAGTAGTAGTAGTAGTAGTAGTAGTAGTAGTAGTAGTAGTAGTAGTAGTAGTAGTAGTAGTAGTAGTAGTAGTAGTAGTAGTAGTAGTAGTAGTAGTAGTAGTAGTAGTAGTAGTAGTAGTAGTAGTAGTAGTAGTAGTAGTAGTAGTAGTAGTAGTAGTAGTAGTAGTAGTAGTAGTAGTAGTAGTAGTAGTGGTAGTAGTAGTAGTAATTGTATTACTAGTAGTAATAGAAGTAGCAGTTATTGACGTTTTGTTGTTGTTCATTTTTTGTATTTAGGTTTGTTTATTTTTTGTAACTTTTTTTTACTTTACTTATATTTTCTAATATAAATTTCTTTTTATTTTAGGTACGATAGATGATAAAGAAAAAAATGTCTTGAAAGCACTAATTAAAGAATCGAATTACTATGATGCTGATGATAATTTACTAAATGCTATACTTGAGAATGGGCTAGAAGGAATTGATGAATTCCAAGAAGATATGGGCAAAAAAAAGTTTTGATTATTTGAAATTATCGGTTTCTAACCTTTTAGACACTCAAAACAATTGTAAGTTTAATTAAAGTCTAAAATTCTTTAATGTTTCTTTTTACCTGACTGTTAATTATGTACTTTTTACATATTGTTTTATATAAGTACTTATAGTAATTTGTTATTTCTACTTTATTACTTTAGAATATATTTAATAGGTACGGATATTATTACTAGTACTCCAATGTACTTATTGTAACAATATTGTTTTTGTTGCTTGTTTCTCTGTATTTTTCTATATTGTAATTGTGCCTCTTAGTTGGGTGAGAGTAGATTTGTCTATTTTTATGTTTTATTTAACAATTTTGCTTTATTTTATTTTATGAAATAGTAATTACTAATACTCATACAAATTTTAATCAAGTTACTAAAAATAAATAGTTTAATGTGAAACTTTTTCTTAAGGCCGATGTTTTTTTTGTTTTTTGTTTGGAATGTTTATCCGCGTTGTTCTTCCGAGTCTACTAACAAGTTTTTATAGAACCATATAAACTACATTTGGTAGTACCATGTAAACTTCACTATGTAAACTACACTTTTGTAGTACCATGTAACTCAACCCTGACTAAAGTATTCTTAAGTACTTTTTTCACAGTTTGTAAAACACAATAAAAAACTGCATATTTACCTTCATTTACTTCTAAGTAAAACATAAATTAATTGTACATTCAGGCTCTTTACGTTTGAGATAAAAATAATTAAGTTATAAAATGTTTGCACATCAAGATTTTTTGAAGGACATACTTTTAATACGGTTTATTTTATAATTTATTTATCTTTTTTAAAAATTTCATTTTTTATTAGGAAAAAAATAAGCACGGAATGATTGAACTAAACTAGGAAACATAATTTAATAACCTATTTAAACAAGGTTTTAATTAATATAGGCCAACTTAAAATGTTCTAAATTTAAATGAGTAAAATAACATAAAATAAGCTTTATTAAAAACATGTCAGGCCTGATTAATACAATAAAGAGTGTCAGGTTTTTAAACAAAACTAAATAAAAAGTCACTTGAACGTTTTTTTGACAGTAGTCTGGTCCCATTTTTTTTCTGCAGCATGTCGTGGTGTTAGAAGTATCTTAATCTATCTTCACATTTTTGAGTTTTGAGATAAAAGGATTTAAAAAATACTTTAGTAGACGGGATAAAAAAACATAATTTTGATGTACATAACACTATTAATGCCTCAATTTTTTAAAAATGTAGATATAGTGCAAAGTAATACTAACATCGCAGGTTAGCAGCTCTCTCACAATAAATTTTTAGAGCAAAAATATATTTTCTTTCGCCTTCAGTGGTTTTCGTTTTAGTCAATAAAAAATTCTCGAAAATAATTTCTCGATGGTTCATAAGTTAATATCCAGTTTAAATATTACTTAAGAATAAATGTCACATGTTTTACACCAAAGTTTTGTTTTATATAACTTTTTAGAAAAGTTTTGACTATTTATTTATGATAATAAGTTGAATCAAATAAAAGCAAAAAAATTTGATTATGTTGTTGTTCCATATTTAAAACGGGTGTTAAAAATTCGTAAATCCATTTCAATGTAGAAGCAAAAAAATCAATTTTATTAATTAATTACATTGTCAGTTTATTACTAAAAGTTGAAAGTTTGTTGTTCAGCCATCACGCTAAAATTTCTTTTTTAAATTCATAAAACTAAACTTTCAATATTATTTACTTTAAAAATAACTGAAAATATAATGTCCTTTAGTATTCATTCAGAACTAGCAGTAAACAACCCGTAATACGGGCTAGTAGTAAATAAATCATTACCAACAATTTGATATTTATTTACTTTCTCTAATAAAATATAAATTTATTTATAAAGAAAGCAACCCATAATACGGGTTAGTAGTAAATAAATCATTACTAACAATATGATCTTTATTTACTTTTTCTAATGAAATATAAATTTATATATACATTCTTTTAGTTGAGCTCATTTTTATTTTTCTTGGCTTCTTAGTTTAAGAGAACTCTTAGCTTCATTAAAGATAAAGTTAACCATTTCTTGTTATTTGCGCATGCAATGTTCAGACATTGAATGCGCAAATCACAACCATGTAGTAGTTAAAAATGACTTGAATTATATGCACAAAACATCGATGTCAAATTTTCAAATTCCGTAAAATTGTTTAGGTAAATATTGGGAATATATTCTACTCTTAATTTTACTTGAAGCTGAGTCGTTTCTTTTTTTTTTAAACTTATCATTTTACTGAGTGAAGAGCTTAAAAATATGTCACTATCGCACCTAAACTTTTCAATGTTATTAATATACTTTTTAAATATTTTGAAAACATCTAAAATATTACACCCAAACTTGTAGGCATAGAAGTTGGATATCCGGAAAAACTATAAGTTGAAAAATATATCGCAATTCCGAAAAAGGCTTAGCCCTGCATACGGATCCTATATTATTATGATAAAGATTATTATTAAACCAACCTTTTTTTTAACTAGTAATCCAGCAGAAACTTGTTTATAAAAAAACAATAAAAAAATATATGGATTTACTTTAAAAGCTAACGTGTATCAATATATTTATTTCAGCATACCTCCAATCCATATTTATACTAATTTTATAAAATGGAATACATTTTGGCTTGACTTATTTCTTTCATTTTGGTAACGATTAACAAAATCTCGATCGAGCCTATTTCTTTCATTTTGGCGACGATTGAAATTATCTTGATCGAGCCTATTTCTTTCATTTTGGCGACGATTAACATTATCTCGATCGAGCCTATTTCTTTCGTTTTGGCGACGATTAACGTTTTCTCGATTTAGCGTATTTCTTTCATTTTGTAAATGATTAATTTCATCTCGCCTAAGTCTATTTCTTTCATTTTGTCTTCACGCCTTATAGCACTTACATCATTTTGTAAATACATAACTTCATCTAGCCTATCATTCATTTCAATGTCATCATTTTGATTAAAGATATTTATCAAAGCAGCACTAATTATTCCTTTTTTTTTTTACTACTCTAAAATTAACAATAAAATAAAAAAACTTAATAAATAACTAAAAAAATTTTAATCAAAAAACTAAAAAATAAAATTCTTAAAACAAATATATAAAGAATCCAAACTAATGCAAAACAAAATTAATTTGCCATCATCAAAAGTAATACAAGGTTCTTAAGTTTATTTGATAAAAGTTAAGAAAAACCTGCAACCATACTAGCAAAAA